TTTCTTCCCTTCTGAAAGCTCTCTGGTGTTGAAATTGATTCCGCAAAGCTAGACTGGATGCCTAATCACCCAGGTGGAGAGCGTAGCAAGGCTGTCAGCGCATGCTTATGCGGCGTGAATTGGGCTCTCCACCACATTGAAGGACAACACGGATGGCCATGTTTTTTTTGGGCCTCCTACAGAGAGGCCCTGAATGATTAATTCTGGGGAAAAATCTACACTTCACACTCATTGATCCAAACATTGTTTGCTTTTGCTGCTCTGTGGAGCTTAACTTGTCCATAGCAGACTGTTATCCAACTCTCCAAGTCTTTCAACTAATCATTAAGATCCACACGTTGCAAATGTGCTGGCTTCATAATATGCCATGGAGGGGTTTAAGACTCTTGATTTTAAATAGCAGAGTTTATAGGCCTTATGGAGTCTATGTGTGGTCATAAAACCCCAAAACTGTTCACTTTTTATTTTATTTTATTTTTTTTTTACTGTTATTACAGGTTGTTTCTTTAACTTAGGGCACTTTTATGTCCAAGGGTTTGATTTTTATTAAAATAAACAAATTTAATTTTTTTTTCCTTTTGTCACATTTAAGTCTCATTTGGATCAAACCATGCTTTTATCATTATTTTTTGGCTATTTTTTGCCAAAAAGTTAGTGTATTTATTTACCAGGGAGGCATCAGTGTTTGTGAAGAGCATACTTTATATGAAATGTGAGACATGATGTATTAAGAAATAAAAGAAAAATTTAAATGTCACTTATAAGCAGGGCCTAAAATTAACACTCGCCAAGTGCCAAATGCGAGTAAAAATCAGCGTTGGCGAGTATATGTAACAGTGTCAGTCGCCAGTTGGCGGGTACAACTTTCAAGAATTATCACAATGCAATGAAGTGAAAACAACAGCCAGTTTTTAAAGAGATTCACTGTTTCTGACATAAGCGAATAAAATAATCTTTTCCGAAGACAAGATCATCATGATTAGCTGTTCTGTCATAAGCGACAAGAGCGGATCGAATAATAGGATACAGACAGACTGATAAGGTCAGAGCAGTGTAATGGCCAGCTTGTCCCTAGACACGGTTCTAATAACTTTTACCTGAGAAGATATTGCTGCTTCATTTCAGAAGATTAACTTTTCCCATCTTTATTCTTCATAACCTGAAAATGTGGCGACACTGGGGTTACGCCGCCTAAACGGTGCAGTGAAGTATAGGGAACTAGAATTTGGACTAACCCAACTTTTGGGTTAAAAATTTAATGTAAAAATTTAACCCAAAAGTTGGGTTAGTCCATATTTGACCCAAAGTTGGGTTGAAACAACCCAGCATTTTTTTAGAGTGTATAATTAATAGGTAAAACTGAGGGAAAATGCACCAGCAAGACAAAAACATTGTAAATATGTTTAGTCATTGTAGTAGTAATAACAGCCTGTTTTTGCAAAAAGAGTTTCATGGCTGGTAAAAAAAACTCTTTGGCCGGTAAATTTTATCATGTCACCGGGGCTTTCAATTATACTGTAATGTTGAATGGCTATAATTAATAGGTAAAACTGAGGGAAAATGCACCAGCAAGACAAAAACATTGTAAATATGTTTAGTCATTGTAGTAGTAATAACAGCCTGTTTTTGCAAAAAGAGTTTCATGGCTGGTAAAAAAAACTCTTTGGCCGGTAAATTTTATCATGTCACCGGCCATTGGCAGGTGTGGCAAAAAGTTAGTTTTAGGCCCTGCTTATAAGTATTTGTGCTATTTCCAGACAAGATGTAATTTTTGTCAAATTATGCAAAAAGCATGAAAATGTCATTAATTGTGTATTTATAGGATATATGCATGCTAGATATAAAATTAGCCTTTAAAAGATAAAGGAGTAGGTTAAGGAGTTTTTATTACAGAAATCTTTAAAATGTCATGAAATTCTCCAGTGACTATATATATATATATATATATATATATATATACTGTTTGACTGTGTTAGTATCCGAATTAAATGAACTATTAAGGACTATAACATTTTTTCTTTTTTCTTGAAGTCCACATCTCGTAGTTAAAGAAACACCAATCAACAACAATAACATTCATTGTCTATTCTATTTGTAATAACGCTTGAATGACTTGAAAGCGCAATAAAGAATGTGCTATGCATTATGTGAAGATTGTTTTAAAATCACTTAAATTAAAAGTTGTTATATATTTCAGAGCCTATTAAATGTTAAAAATAATGGATTTCAATTATACTGTAATGTTGAATGGCTACACTCTAAAAAATGCTGGGATGTTTCAACCCAACTTTGGGTCAAATATGGACTAACCCAACCGTTGGGTTAAATTTTTACATTAAATTTTTAACCCAAAAGTTGGGTTAGTCCATATTTGACCCAAAGTTGGGTTGAAA